CTCTTCACCTAATTGAAGCGCCAAATTGATGGCTTTTTTAGCATACCCAAATCCTTGATTATACTTTGTTTTATATGCCAAATTTTGTCTAATGGTCTCTGACAATGGTTGTGTATGTTGAATTTCATTTAGTATATCAAAATTAGTTACTACTCGATGCTTATATACTATTTCATTCCTAGAAGCTTCTCTACTACTACATATTGTAATTGCAACCTCTTCTTGTGAGGTAGATAATACATCATTATACTATCGAGATGGGATTAAACCAATATGAAACATTGCGCTATCAGTATTAAGCATAACTGCAAAAAAGTGTCAGCAAACTAATCCTCTTGTTATAAGCCACATGTATGTATATAAATGATTAGCATTCCCATATAGTATTATAAAATGTGTTTTATTTTCTTCAATAGTCAATATGCTCCAAACTTCATAAATACTAACTGAATCTAAGTATTTCATCATTAAGTGTAAATTCAACAAAGTTGATTCATAATTATCTTCGTGAAATTTAATATTAACATGATTATCAGATTCACTATTTTCTTTTAAATTAAGATTCTATATAAAGCAATTTATTTAATACACAAATAAGTACAAGATCTTAAACTAATTCATAATTAAAATTAGACAGTTAAACAAAATAAACTTATAAATGAAACTTTATTATTTCTTAATAGTCTAATTCATAAGTTATTTAGTTTAATTGCCTAATTTTAATTGTTTTTAGTATAATATTTTAAAAATTTTAACTTACTTGTACTTGAGAATTAACCAAATATTCCCAATTTTTAACTTCTTTAACACGATAAAGTAGACTTTCACTAATTTGATAGCGTTGAAGTTTTAACATTCTTGAAGTAAAATACTTCTTAATAATAATATCAATACGGTTAAAATATCTACTAATAATATTAGGCAGTCCAATACTTGGGTTTTGGTTACTTTGTTCTTCACGTCATTCAAAATACTCCTCTTTATCAAGTTGTGATTGGATTTGTGTATCTAATTCAAATAACGTTGCAGAACTTTTAATTAATCGCTTAATCAAGGCATTATAACTTTCAACATGTTGTGTTGATTGAATTCCAGCATTAAATGACTTATGTGTATAACACAATGTCCAGCTAGTTACATCAGTTCTAAAAGCATGTTCAAGATACTTTTGTGATGCTGGGTAATTATCAAGAAGATCATTCCATTGTTTTTTAAACTCATGTTCTGAAAGACTATTTCTACATTTATTCCATACTTTTATAAAATCATTATACTCATTATGTAATTTGCCTCTTAAATTCTTTTCAAGGTTTCTACATATATGTCAAATATAATGATTATGTTTTGTATTTGGTAAAACTTCATGAATAGCTGCATTCATACCGGATCTAAGTCTGTAAATAATACTTGTGGTGCAAGATTATTGGTAGCACGTAATAAACATTCAAGAATCCATTTGTATGATTCTTTGGTTTCATCTAAAATAATAGCTGTTGCGGTTAAACAAGAACGTCCATGATTATCTACAACAACTATAAGTGATAAATACATTCGATACTTATTTGTATGTGATGTATTATCATTAATTGCAACATCATAAAACTTTTTCCATAGTTCAATTTGTGATGGCCTTATCCAGAAGGGTGGTGCTTATTTCACTGACAATCACTTCGCCGACAGCCCATTTCACCGACAGTCAATTCACCGAAAAGTTTATTCCACCGACAGTTATTTCACCGACAATCATTTCACCGACAAAGTAATTCTGGTCATTTCGTTAGGG